ATATGCTTTCTCAATATCAAGCTTGCACAGACTCCTGGAACACTGCTCCTCAACCTAAAATCCACACATACGCTGGCAATGAGAGTGGAGTCCAGAATTTCCCGTCCAGAACCTCCCTCAATCTTAAGGCGAGAACGTTTGTAATAAGCGTATAAATGCAACCTAATAGACTTATTGGTCTAAAGTCCTTAACATCGGACACAACTCTTTTCTTAGGGATAAGAGCAATGAAAGAAGCATTCAACGACTTTTCGAACCTCCCATTAGAATGAAACTCATAAAAGGTACCCATCACCTCATGTCTCACCACCTCCCAACTGCAACTTCTGGTATGCAACGGACCAAATCTGTTCCCAGACATCAAATTTTTGCAGCACTCACCGTGACGGAATCTCTTAGTCAGCGACCTATCACCATGAAAAACATCACTCACCTTTACCCGGTTATCTTTCTCCACCCTAGACCATTGCTTAGCCACCGACTTCGTCGTTGAAGGAGCTTTGATTTTCGAAGAAGATGAAGCTGTGGATTGGGCCTGCTGAAAAGTTGGACTCCTTAGCAAACAGTGGGCTGGACTGCTTCCCCTTAATAGAAACAACAAGCCCCTTATTCGAACCCCAAACCACCACCCTATCCCCTCTTGACATACCCAATCTGGATGTGGGCTTAGAATGAGGTAGCCCAGTCGACGATCTTAACCCAATTGAGTTGGGCTTGGTCTGGTGCGGACCAGCTAAGGAGGAAGATCCCCAACAGGCTTGGGCTTGGATTTAACCTGATGAGGCCCAGCTGTATCACTTAGTCCATGATGCCCATAGTGTGGCCCAGATCCAGGCCCATCCTTATCAGAATTCAAATGTCCCACACGCTCACATGCAGAAGCACGTGCACCAACAGCTGTCTTGCACCAACAACGGGAGGCGCATGAAGACCAACCACGTGTATCACACCCAACTCTGCTCACCCAACTCTCCTTTGGCGCGTGTATCCCCCTACATCCCTGTCCTTGGGTTAGACCACCGTGAAAATCACCAATCTGCTCCTCTGGCGAAGCACCAAGACCGCCTTCAGGCCATCAAAACGCTCTAGTCTTCCTAAACAGAACATAAAATAACACAAAACAGAAATCCTCAAATTGTGTGGCTGCCTATTAATTTTGATAAGTGGTTAATGGAACAGCAAAATTTGTTTATAATTTTCAAGCACTGGGAGCATGACAATGGCAAGACAATTGAACAATAATGTGTAATAATTGTTTCACCAGTATTCATAACAATGGCGTGAACAAATTAATCCAAAAATAATGCAATAATAAAGCACAAAATGTTCAGTCATATTATTCTACTAAGTTTGCTCTAAATCAACGGTACAAAGTTCAAGGACTTCAACTTCAACAAATCATAAGTATATGTGTACTTAACTGTAATTACAAATCTTTAATACAATCATGTTGTCATACTTTTTCTTTCATGTCTTCTGATCACATCTATGCAATTACTGGGGAAAAAAAGTTGCATCAAAGCAAATAGGCACCTCATATCTCTCACATTCACTTTGCACAGAAGTTAGAATAAAAGCAGAAAAAAAAAAAAAAAAAAACCTTGAGTTTGTAATTTTGTTGCTCGTCAAAGGGAAAAGGCTGCTCGTCAGTGTCTCAGAGAGAGGATGCTGTCTGATTTCACGATTTAGGACCTTGAGTTTGTAACTTTGTTGCTCGTCAAAGGGAAGAGCCTACTCGTCAGAGAGAAGAGGCTGTCTAATTGCATGATTTAGGGCTTCTTTGTGCATTTTTTTTCCAGCTTTATATTTTACTGTATTCTCTGTGTTTGAGCCTAGAAATGGTTGGGCTTTCTTATTAAAAAGAGCCCAACCCTTGAATAAAGCTCAAACAAGGTGTACCAGCCCAAGAGAAGGCCCAAGCAAGGGGTTAGAAAAGAATCGGTAGAATCAGTAAGATTCTACGATTCCTTCGATTCTACAGCGATTTTGCTCCAGGAATGATTTTTGTGCAATTCCAATCATTTTGGGTACCTAGGATGACCTAGAATCGCGATTTTGATAACCATGCTGATGGTCTCTCTCTGAGATTCCTCCTCGAGTGCTGGGAGGCGGTTGGGTAGGAGGTGATGGACACTTTTCTTGCTTTTCATTCCTAGGAGCATTTCAAGAAGAGCATGAACACAACATTCATTGCCCTTATTCCTAAGATGGGGGGAGCGTCCGATGTGAATGACTTTACATCGATTAGTTTGGTGGGATGCATCTACAAATAATGGCTAAGGTCTTGGCTCTGAGATTGAGGGAGGTTTTGGATGGGATCGTTTTGGATTTTCATAACTCAGTTTGTTGGTGGTCGTCAGATTCTGGATTCAGTTTTTATAGCTTGTGAATGTGTGGACTACAGATTGAGTAGTGGGGTCCTAGGGGTCTTATGCAAGCCAGACATTGAGAAGGGGGGTATGATCATGTCAGTTGGAGCTTTCTTCTCTTTCTACTCGAGAGAATAGGTTTTGGGGAGAGATGGAGAAGATGGACTGAGTTATGCATTTCTAGTGCTAGGTTTTCGGTCCTTGTGAATGGTGCCTCGATGGGCTTTTTTGGCAGCTTGAGCGGGTTGAGGCAGGGGGACCTGCTTTCTCCCTTTCTTTTGATGGAGGCTCTCAGGAGAATGAAGACAAGGGCAGTGGGTTTGGGTTTTATGAGAGGTTTTAGGGTGGGCAGAGATGATGCCAGTCAGCTGGAGATTTCTCATTTGATGTTTGCTAATGACACGTTGGTTTTCTGAGATGCAAATGCGCCTTAGATGAGATTCTTGAGATGTGTTTTGATTTGGTTTCAAGTGGTCTCTGGTTTAAAGCTGAATGTGGGTAAGAGTGTGTTGGTGCCGGATGGGGAAGTACCTGAGATTTCCACTTTAGCTAATATTTTGGGTTCCAGTATTGGCTCTTTTTCCCATTTCTTATTTGGGCTTGCTTCTAGGGGCTCCATCTAGGGGAGTGGGAACTTGGGACCCTGTGGTTGAGAGATTTGAGAAGAGACTGACCGGATAGAAGAAGTTGTATCTTTTTAAAGGTGGGAGAGTAACTTTGATGAAAAGCACTCTCTCAAGTCTTCTTATTTATTTCCTTTCCATTTTCCAGATTCCCTCTTTTGTGGCTGAGAGAATTGTGAGGTTACAATGGAACTTTTTGTGGGGAGGTAAGGGGGAGGAGTTCAAGTTTCATCTGGTTAGATGGGAGTGCGTATGTACTTTGATCCGGAAGGGAGGTTTGGGTATCAAAAGATTGATGCCTTTTAATAGGGCTTTGATGGGAAGTTGCTTTTGGAGATTTAGGGTGATGAGAGGGGGCTGGTGCTCTTCAGGGGTGAGACTTCTGAGCGGAGTTGGGGCCTGGAAATTTATCCCCAGAGGAGAGAGAAGGGAGAGGGGGGGGGGGGGGGGGGATAAATTTTGTAAAATGTTAGGTTTCGAGTTAGGGATGGTAGGGGAATCTGCTTTTGGGAGGACATTTGGTGTGGTAACGGTCCTCTTGCGCTTACTTTCTCTACACTCTTCCGGATTGCCTCTGTGGTTGACTGCTTTCGTCTCGATAGTGGGAGAACGGTATGGGATGTTCACTTCTCGTGGATTTTCAGGACTGGAAGATTGAGGATGTTGTTGTTTTTTTTTTTTTTTGGAGCTTTTGTATCACTTGGAGATTGTGGGAGATGTTATGACCCTTGGGTGTGGCTTCCCTATTCCTAGGGGGTCGCTTTGATGTTAGGTCTCTTTATAGGTGTCTTTCAGATACCCCAACCCCCTCTTTTTCCGTGGAGGGCTATTTGGCGTTCAAAGGCTCCTCGCAAAGTGGCGTTTTTTGCTTGGATGTCCATCTTGGGGACGATCTTGACCCAAGGTTACCTTAGGAGGAGGAGACAGATTGTGGTCAATTGGTGCTATTTATGCAAGAATAATGAGAAAACGGTTGATCCCCTTCTTTTGCATTGCCAATGGCTGCTGGGTTTGTTTGGGTTTCAGTGGGTTATGCCCAAGTCTTCTAGAGTCTTGATTGAGGATTGGAGACGTTGTACAGTGGGGGCTCAAGTCTGTGATTTCTGGAGGGTTACGCCTTTAGGCGTTTGCTGGTGTATATGGCTTGAGAGAAACAAGAGATCTTTCGAAGGAAATGAGAATCCTATTGGGTCTTTTGAAGTTCTTCATTATTAGCACCCCTTTTTTGTTGGGTTTTAGGGAGAAATTGTAAATTCATAGAGGAGTTTCTAGATTTTTTGGGTTTGTTGAGGGTTTAGAGGCCTTATTTGGCCTTGTGTAGCTTTTGAGGGAGCGGTCCCCTTTTGAATGCTCTTAATACAAAATTTACGTAATTTTTTTTTTTTTTTTCCTAGTTGATACTCACACACCCCACCTCAAGGAATTTTTTTGCTCCCAAGAGGAGTCGAACCTTAGAACCAAAAAAAAAAAAATTTGATTAGTTTAGGCTGAAATTTAGTTCATAACAGTATTACATTTAAATTTCTGTTATAGGTGTTTAATTTGTCTATAAGATCTATTCACCACCCCTCTACGTCTAGATCAAGCTTTGCACATACTGTAATATCACTGCCCAGAGTTACTATCCTTAGTTTCTTGGATGAGCTGCCTTTGTACATCTACATCTCCTAAACAGTATATGAAAGTCTATCCAAGAATGTCTTGGATTTCAGAAATAAAAGGAATTCAACGTTAATTGCTTTTACTATGGAAAGGTTTCTCCCCATGCTGAGAATTAGTCTATATTATGCCCTTCAGCATGTAGATTTTTGCTTTTCTTGCTAATTTTTGAGTAATAGTTTTTCCAATTTTTATAATCATGTTGAATCTGTTAGCTGTCCATGTATGCATGCCTGCTCTTGTGGATTCTCACTCTTCGTCATACTAAACATATATAATGTCAATTTGGATTGTTGGATGGAGATTTGACAGCTGGTTATTGAATATTTTTTTCTTGTTTTTTTGACAGGGTTTGACACATTATGAAAAGAAAAAATATGTTTGGAAAATGCTTTACATTTATATGCTGGGTTACGATGTAGATTTTGGTCACATGGAAGCAGTTTCTTTAATATCCGCGCCAAAATATCCAGAAAAGCAGGTAATGTGTATGCATTCATTTCCCAAATTCCTGACCATGTGATACGCATTCTCATTTTATCACATGGATAATTGGTTTCTTCCATATATGCATTCATTTCTCAAATTCCTGATTATATGATATGCATTCTCATTTTATCACATGGATAATTGGTTTCTTCCGTAGAATTGTTACTGACATGTTATCAGCTTAATGACTTGAGCCATTGTGTATGAGGTTTATATCACAAGGGTGGTCACAATACCTCTTCTGATGCTGATCCATAGAGTTGATTTGTACTGAGATTCCTATCAAAAGATGAAGATTCTTGGAAATTTGTTGTTGCTCAAAACAGTTGCAAAACCTATATGTGCTGATTAATTATATAGACTATTAAGTCCATTATATATGAATCGGTTGAATTGCAATTTAAATGTATATATTTTTTTCCTAAATGATGAAAAAAATATATCAATAAAACAATATAGTTCAAGTACAATAGAGGGCATACCCTCACCAAACTCAGGGTCCTAAAGTAGGACACCATAAAAAGCAAGGACTAAGCCTTGCCGAACAATTCAAGTCCTAAGAAAAACAAATTAAGAGATGATGTCTTGGAGGCATTCCCCCAAAACATCCCAAACAATGCCCCTAACCGGAACAAGTGGATCCCTATGCATAGAATCATGACCCCTGCCGTTCCTCTCATTCCAAATGTAGTATAGAGTAGCTGTGAATAAAATTCTGTGCATTTTATTTCTAAAGCTCTTAGCAGCAAACTGTTTTTTTTTATAAGTAAAAAATCATTAAAAAAAGCGTTCAAAAGGGGAACGCGTCCCGTGTACAAAAGCAAAACAGGAACCTATGGACCCAATGAGTCCAAGAGATCAACAACATCATCATCAGAAGAACAGTGTCTCCCCTTCACCCAACTGAAAGTGGAGCGAATGATATGAAGTTTCAAAGTTGCCGTAGACGCCTCCATTCCTTCAAAACACCTGTTATTCCTCTCTTTCCGTATGCACCACTGTACGCAATGTGGAATGGTCCTCCAACAATCACGAGCATGACCCCCACATAACATCCCCTCCACGCTTCAATCATGACCCTTGTGGACCTGGGCATCACCCAAGAAATGCCGAACAATCCGAAGATAAGATTCCAACAATCGTGCACCACAGGGTAGTGTAAGAGTAGATGATCCGTAGACTCACCATCATTTTTGCATGGGCAGTACCGGTTGACAATAATAATGCCTCTCTTCCTCAGGTTATCCAATGTCAAGATCTTACCCCAAACGACATTCCAAACAAAGAATGCCACCCGATAGCAATCAACTACAAAGGCATGTCTATCATTAGCGATTCTAAAAAGTCTGGGAAAAGAGCAAGACAACGGCTGGTCTCTGCACCATAAATTCTCCCAAAACCGAACACATCTACCATCCCGAACTTTGAATCTGATATGAGAGGAGAAGACATCCCAGCCTTTCCGAATAAATTTCCACACGCCAATTCCTCCTGCGTCAGGGACTGGGCATGAAGACCACCCACCTCTCTCTTCCCCATAACCACATGCGACAATCCTCCTCCACGGGCAGTGTCGTTCCCTACCAAATCTCCACAACCACTTGCCTAGGAGAGCTCTATTAAAGGGGATCAACCTCCTAATGCCCAGGCCACCCAACTTAACGGGCTTGCAAATTTGCTCCCACTTGACGAGATGGTACTTGATCTCTTCGCCCCTTCCACCCCACAAGAAATCCCTTTGAATTTTTTCGATCCTTTCAGCAACAGAACACGGAATCTGGAACATAGATAGGAAATAAGTGGGAAGGTTTGAGAGAGTGTCTTAGCAGCATGCTGTTGAGACAATACAATGGCCAAATCCACAATGGAACTTGGTCTCTGCACATTCCACTTGAAGATATCATCAAGACCAGACCACACCTTCCAAGCATAGCTGCACTCACAAAATAGATGGTTCACACTTTCTATATGGTTGAAACACAACAAACTGAGGCAAGAGAGACACCTCTCTGCAGATTTGTAGTAACCAAGATAGAGTTCTGAACCAGAGCAGAGTGGACTGAACATCTAGGTCTACCAGCATTCCAGCACAACAAAGCCCATGGAACAACCGGTCTAATCACCCTACATGCCTCCCAGGCTTCTTAAAAAGAAAACTGTTTGGACTTCCACAATAACTGATCTGATCCCCCAAAGATGCTAAACTTCTAAATAAAATGCAGTAACTCTTGAGATTCTGGACCGAATTTGGAGCTATTCCAGTGAGTATCAACAATGAAATTGCTTAAGAGAGCAGATTTGTGTGAACACACACTTCTTAAAACTCTATGGTGAAACACCATGGATCAAGAAATAGATTAATTGTAGTCCCATCCCCAATTCTGTATCTACAGTGCTGCAGCACAGTCTCTCTGACTTGCACAATGCTCTTCCAAATAGTGGAATAAGAATCCCTCACCACCATATGCCAGAAAGAAGACTTTTTAGCTTAACATTTCTTATGCCAGGCCACCCAAATTCTATCCTTAGAGGCAAGGAGATCCCAGGCTAGAACACATTTTGCAACCCTATCAATGTCCACTAGCCTTCTCAAGCCAAGACAACCTTTGGACCTTCCTCCTTAGGAGAATCTAGTTTCTTCCAGCAAAGATCATGGAGTTTTCTAGAAGATTCATCATGACGCCACACAAAATTATCATCCTCCTTTCAGTAATGTTAATGACGGCAGCTGGAAGAGGGTAAACAGCAGACCAGTAATGGACTAGAGGTGTGACAGCAGCCCTAACCAACTTAATCCTGCCAGCCATAGAGAGATGCAGACCAGACCATGTAGTAGTGGAAGCCACCACCTTATCAATGAGAGACTTACAGTCCACCTTCCTCAAACTCTTGTCAGAGATGGCAGGCCTAAATAGGTGAATGGGAGCTTACCAAGTCTGCAACCCAGAGTTCTGAGAATAGTCTGCTTTCTCTTGACAGACCTAGTGAAAAACACTTCTGATTTGTCCCTACTTACAGCCAAACCAGTGACCTGTTCAAAATTTTCCATAGTCCTCTTGAGGGTAAAAACTGAAGCCATATTAGCCCTCACAACAACCAGCAAATCATCTGCAAAAAATTGATGAGAAATGGGCACATCAGCTCATCTAGCAGCAGCTGACAAAACCAGAGTCCCTCGCTTAACCTCATTTTCAAACATCCCAGAGAGATACTCAGTAACCAAGGTGAAAAGCATAGGAGACAATGGGCAACCCTGTCTCAACCCTCTAGAGGGCTGAAAGAAACCACAGGGGCTACCATTCATGATTCACCAGAACAGAAAACCATACTGAGGTGATACAGTCCTTCACCCGGTTAATCCATCTGGTACCAAATCCAAAAAACTGAAGAAGCTGTAGCAGAAAAGGACATTGAACTGAATCATAGGCCTTCCTAATATCCACTTTCCAAGCTAGAGTAGGTTGAGTATGTTTAGCACCAAACCCTCTTAGGAGTTCATGAGCAAGAATGATGTTGTCTTGTATCTTCCTACCTTTAATGAAAGCATTTTGTGCATGTCCCACAATCTTGTCAAGCACTGAACCCAGTCTGTTAGCCATAAGTTTGGAGATGATTTATATTGCTTTTAAATGTATATTTTTACTATTACTCTTTTATCATTTTCTTTTGGTTTTGAATTCTTTTAGAGTTTTAAAATTTAAAAGCAATATAAATCTCTTCCACCAGTCAATTATTTATTGTAAATGTTACTTTAAGTTGTTCAACTTGTTTGCTTTTTTATTTTTTATTTATTGATCTGTAGAAATCATCCCCGTTTGAACATTATATGATGCATTACCACTAATATATATAAAAATGTATATTCATTATATACGAAACATATACCAAGGCCTGTGCCTAGTGGTACTCTTATTTGCACTGCTCATCTTCCCATGCCATACCTCTGATTTCAATGCTTGCTGAAGTTAAGCACTAAAAAGTATCTTCTTTCTGGTCAAGTTTCCTATAGGCACATAATGTTTTTGTGATTCTGGTTATCCACTGGTATCAGTTGTTGTTTATTATTTTTCTCACTTATCTCTCACTAGCTAGTGTGTTTTTTTTTATGCCTCCTTAAGAATAGTGGATGATATACGAAGCAATATATGGTAAAAGTAAAATCAGATATCTTAAAATTCTTTCTGGCTAGTATCATCATCTCTCTAGAATAAAATTTAATTACATTTTATTCTTGAATGACATACATAGTCCTTTCTATATGGCCAGGCATGTGTGCTAACTTTTTTATTTTTATTTTTTATTTTTTATTTTTATTTATTTTTTTTTCTTTCTATTTTTATGTGTTAGATTTTTCTATGTTCAGAAATAAAGGTGTGTGACTGTATTGGTTAATTAATATTTATCATGCTATAAATGGCTGCAGGTTGGGTACATAGTGACTTCGTGTTTGCTCAACGAGAATCATGATTTTTTGAGACTAGCAATTAACACTGTCCGCAACGATATAATAGGTCGCAATGAAACTTTTCAGTGCCTGGCATTGACTCTGGTATAGCTACGAAAAACCTGTTTTATTTTTAGATTTATTATTTTCTTGTTAAAATATATGCAAGTATGCTCGAGACTGAAGCCTAGTCCAATATTTTTCACGTTATTTTGGGTCCTGTGTAAACTTTGTTGTGTGCTATCTTGCATTTTTTTCTTTTTTTTTTTCATTCTTATACACAAATTTTATTTATGTTTTAAAGACATTGTTTCCTTGAATGTTAAAATAGCTGAAGCGGTAACAGGATTTTTAGCATTGATCATTTATAAACCTGACTTTTGCTATTCTTTTTTCGTCTTAACAGTTCTTTCTTCTGTTGTAATTGTAATCCTTTTATGTTAGATACATAAGTAATCATGGAAGCATTCTGTTTGTGTTTTTTTGGATGTCTGATAATCCTTTAAGTGACTTGGTATGCCTCCTGGGTGGTGAATTCTGGTTCAGTTTCTGGACCATACACTTGAAAGCGATGCTATGTTGGATCTCTGTATTGAGTTTGGTTCGACATCAAAATTGGACGGATAGATTGCCACCTGTTCCTTTGTCAAAGACGAAATGAAGTTACCATTAAAAGGATTAACCATTAATCAGAAGTCTATAAACTCACATCACCTAACATTTATTCTCTTCTAAAATATAACATTAAATTATAATTGTCAGTTTTTTTCCCCCTTTTTATCTAGGGAAAGAAGGTGTCATTAATAGTTGTCTAATAAAAGGGACAGTCCTCTATTTCTGCTGTTACCTAGTCTTTATCAATATACTTTGAGATATTATCAGATTTTAAACTTCTCCAAGGATTTCCCAGTTTTCCCTTTAGAAATCCAGGCTCCAATGGTGATTGGAGTATTTCTAGTCTTCCTTACTACTGTAAAAAGACGTGTTATTTCTGTTTGCATCAACATTTCTCCTTTTATCTTTAATAATCAGATATTTCTTAACTCTACTTATCAAAAAAAAAAATTTCTTACCTCTACACACACACACTGACGCGCACACAAAAAGTAAAAATGAAATAAAATAAAATAAAGAATTGACATGAAAGCCTGTTAAATTGTTAAGACAGGTGGAACCTTTTCTAGCTGCATGCCGATAGTGAAGTGAAATAAAATTCCCCTTAGATTGTATTCCATTTCTATTTGCTACTTTTTGGTTAAAATAACAATATAACACTTTGAATCATTTCTCCTATGCAAAATTATTGTATTTTGGAAATACTTATTAGCAATCTCTCTCTAGGGTTTGTAGATATTTGTTCACATCTTGGGTACCTACAGTTTCTAATGTTTTACATATATAAATATATATTTATCTATGTGCAGGTTGGAAATATTGGTGGGAGAGAGTTTTCTGAATCTTTAGCACCTGACGTTCAGAAGTTACTTGTAAGATGAAATATCTGTAGACTTCAGTCTGCATTAGTAAAATGCAATTGATGGTAACTGTTTCTTTTGCTTCAGATTTCCAGTAGTTGCAGACCACTTGTGAGAAAGAAGGCGGCACTTTGTCTCCTGCGCCTGTATAGGAAAAATCCCGATGTTGTTAATGTAGATGGCTGGTATGCTGGAATTTAGATTCTTCATGAAAGGAAGTTTTCCTGGGGTAACTTTCTTACGTTGCTATGATTAATTCTTCTTCGGCTCATTTTTCAGGGCAGATCGGATGGCGCAGCTGTTAGATGAACGTGATGTGGGTGTTTTGACATCTTCTATGAGCCTTCTTGTTTCTTTAGTGTCAAATAACCACGATTCATATTGGAGTTGTCTTCCAAAGTGTGTCAAAGTATTGGAAAGGCTTGCTAGGAACCAGGATGTTCCACAAGAATACACTTACTATGGTATCCCATCTCCTTGGCTTCAGGTTTGTGTACCCCTTTTTAGAAGTTTTCCCTTACATAAGGGCCAGAAGATAATCATTGTCAGACTGGCCCGTTTGGCTCTGATCTAAATCATTTGTTCAGCAAGACGAATCAAGTACAACATAACCCTAAATATATTAGTTACCTATTCAGCGTGCATTAGGGTACATGGTAATGGATTTGGAACTTGAATATTTATTCTTGGCAAATTTGGAATCCAAAAATTTCGAATCCATCCATTTAGCGGTATATTGTTTTGGATCAATATATTTATGAAGGGACTCAGAGTTAAAGAATTGTAAGCATAAAACACATTGAATGATAAAAATAAAACTGGCTTTTGAATTTAACAAGCATATCTATGTTCAATTTCAGCAAAAGATGGATAATAGATTTTAATATGTATTCATTTTAAACTTTCAGGGGAAGATAAAAGGAAACCAAGAAAAATTGTACTTCTTCTCTATGAGTTAAATAAAATTGATGAATACCCCTCGTCACAGAAGTTCTACATTAAGGAAGTAATGAAGGAATCTGACTATTGAGGGCTAAGAAATTCCAAGAACACAGAGATGTATATTTTTTGATGCTAGGGGATGGTTGAACCGAAGGGTGAAAAGGAAAGTACAAGAAGTAATACATTAGTAAGAGAATTTTTTTTAAAGAAAACAGCAAAACATGAGAATTTGGAAAAATATAAAAAATAAAGAATGAAGCTAAGAAGGTGGTGAATAAAGGTAAAGGAAATGCATTCAATAGTTTGTGAAAAATTAGGTATAAAAGAAGGTGAAAAAGAGATTTATAAGTTAGCAAAGAGGAAAGATAGGTTGACTGGAGACATGAATCAAGTTAGATGCATTAAAGGTATTGATCAAAAGATTTCATTTATCTATGATGATTTTTTTTTTTGAAAGTGAGAATGTATTAGAAAGTGTTAAAAATGGGAACGCATCCCAAGAATACACAAAGGCCAAAGGCTAGAAAAATGAAAAAAGAGGGATTAAGGACCCAAGGAGCCCAAAAGATCAACAATCTCGTCTAAAGATGTACAATATCTCCCCATCCCCCAGAAGAATTTATCTATGATGATGGATTCAAATATTAAAAAGTTAGTGATCAGAGGAGTTCTAGAATGCCCAAGCAATACAGAAAGATTATATAGTGTTGCAGAGAACCCTTCTTATAGTATTTCTCTAAATTAAATTTTCCTCATTTTTATCTTCCTTTTGGTTTTATGCAAAATGAGTGTTTGAATTTCTTCTTTTGTTGAATAGAGGGGTGTGGCCACCCTTCTTGTGTAGCTCTATGAATTGGACAGACTATCAGATTACTGATGCACTTAAAAAATTTATTTGACACTTGCCAATATTTGGACAATGCAGGTTAAGACAATGAGGGCACTTCAATATTTTCCAAGCATTGAGGATCCAAATACTAAAAGATCATTGTTTGAGGTTCTCATCTTTTCAAGGAATATATTTTATTTATCATTAAATTGTATAATTCTAATGAACTCTATTCTGGTGATTTCAGGTTTTACAACGGATACTAATGGGAACTGATGTTGTGAAAAATGTGAACAAAAACAATGCGTCACATGCTGTTCTCTTTGAAGCCCTTGCTCTTGTAAGTTTGCATCCTTAGTAATCTGCTTGGTGTCTGAAATCTGCAGTTTGACATATATTGCAAATAGATATGTTTATGGTCTTTAGATTTATAAATGCTTGTATAATGCAAATTTTAAGCTAGTTTGCATGCCTTTTAAAGTTTCCTAGTGCCTCATTGACACCAGTGAATTTTGAAATATATATATTTTTAAAATAGCGTGCATGTACACATGTAATTGTTGCACGTGTATGGCATAATAGTAATGCAAGTTGTTTGGAAAAGGTGTCATGTGTGGTCATATTCCATGTGTTTTCACCTCATCAGATTGCTTGCATCGACATTGAAGCCTCAATTTTTGATTGAAGATTGAGCAAAAGATCGCATTGACGTCTTGCTCCAAGCTCCATCAGGCACAATTTAGAAAGTCAAGTGACCTAAAAGACTATTGGATTTGAAGTGATTGACTAATATTTAAGTTGATTAAAAAAGTTCCAAAATTACCTTGAAAGTTTGGTTAAAATTGTACTGGTATCAACTAAGAAACTTGAACTCATTTGGAGTTGAACTGAAAACTAATTAATAATTAGTTTAATTATAGCTCAAAAATCTAGTCAGTTGATGTATGTGTCTTCAAAAAATCATTAAAAAACAAGCTTTTGGAATCTTGTAATAAATTTTATGTATCCAGAAACTAACCTCCATAAGCTTTCCAATGATATGTTATATGCCTAGTTTTGAGTCCGTTTGACCCCTCAGCGAAGCATCTAAAATCAGACTACGTGCTGTGATGTTTGGCAACTGCATAGAGACCTGTACTCTCTTATGATTCTTATCTATGGGTGGTCCTCCCTTGCAGGAGATCATGAGTGAGAGAGACGGGAGACCCAGAGACAGAAAATGGGGGTCTCGTATAGATCGTTAAAAAGAAGAAGATAGAGAATGGAGTGAGTTAGAAAGGGCGAGGGGAGATATATATATATATATTGATAAGTAAAATGTATAAAAAGCTCTCAAAAGGGGAGCAAAATATATGAGCATGCTTAGGGATGCGTATAAGTTGGAAATAAGTAGGGAACATATTCCCCATGTTTTGGTGATAAACAAGTCGAAACATTCTTTTTTTGTTCCTAAAAATTAGGCCTTTTGAAAACATGTTCCCAAAATTTAGAAATAGAAATAAGATTACCAAACTTATTTAAGCGACCTATTTATGTGTTTTGGCATTTTGGAAACAAGAAACAGGAAATAGAAACATTTCCAAATGACCATAAGTTTGCCAAGAAGGGGCTAGTCCAAAATAATCAATGATTGGCAATGGTTATCGCCGGTGGTGAGCGTCGCAGGCAAGATCGTCACCGAGTGCTTGAAGTGTTTGGCCGGGGAGGTTGTCGATTGACGAGGATGAAGAGAGAAGAGTAAGAGGGAGAGAGAAGCGCAAGAGAGATATAATTGGCATTAATTAATATTTTTTCCTGATTTTATGTGTGTTCTTTTGAATTATTTTCCGCTTACTGAGTTATTTGGTGGGGTGGAGCTGTTCTTTTAAGGTTTTTTGTGTTTTAATCACCTTACCACAGGTCATGCATCTTGATGCTGAAAAAGAAATGATGTCTCAGTGTGTTGCCTTGCTTGGGAAATTTATTGCTGTGCGTGAGCCAAATATTCGGTATCTTGGTTTGGTAAGTCGTTTGAATACAGTTGTCTCATCTGTTATCTCTTTGCATCTTCTTTCTTATTTCATTGATACGACCTATGTTAGAAGCATTCCAAATTGGAGTGCTAAATTTTAGAATTAGAAGGTTGATCTTTTTTCTACTTTCTGATTGCATCATATGTACTGCTCCGATGCAGGAGAACATGACTCGAATGTTGATGGTTACAGATGTTCAAGACATTATCAAAAGACACCAGGCCCAGATCATCACATCCTTGAAGGATCCTGACATCAGGTTAAACTCATGTTCTATGTATCTTCTTAAAGATGTTCTTTGCTTTAGCACTACACATATTACTTGACACATGTAAGGGAACAACTTCATTAACTTGAATCCTATACTATACCTATACACATGCCATGTCATCTGCCTGTACTTGTGAAGTAACCTGTTGGATGTGAAAAAATCATCTTGATGTGTATCTTAGATGCTGATATGGTTACTTTTTGCCTGGATCTCTTTACCTGGTTATGTATGCTGTACAATGCTGCTCCAGTGGTCTGACATGCTTGTTTCAGCAAGATTGATCCATTGACTGGTCAATTCAACTTTGTCAGTTATAAAGGATGTTTGAACTGACTGTTCCAGTCAAAGCATATTAGAACATCGTTGATTCTATTACTATATTCTTGAAACAAATTCTTCTTCCAGTCAAAGCATAAGTGATAGTCAGAGTTGCAGTTTAATATAATGCTAGCATATTTATTTTTATATCTATGGTCTGTAAAGTATGTAGTTTGAGTTGTAGTTTTGAAATTCACCTTCTCTTAGTGATAGATGTTTTTAACCTTGCAGTATCCGGAGACGTGCTCTGGATCTGCTATATGGCATGTGTGATGTATCAAATGCAAAAGACATAGTTGAAGAATTGTTGCAGGTAAAAACCCACAGGACAGAATACAGTAACTTCATTAGATTTCAGTCGGTAGTTTCTTTGGAGTCTGCAATGATAGAGTAAGAATGTTTCTTGCAAAAGAACAAGAGAAGCATGCCACTGATACTCAATTGTTTTCAGTATCTCAGTGCAGCAGACTTTGCAATGCGTGAAGAATTGTCCTTAAAGGCTGCTATTCTTGCAGAGAAGTTTGCTCCTGATCTATCATGGTAATTATGGTATTCCCATACAATAGAGCATACATATCTAATCTAGATGGAGTTTTATTATTACATTGATTATGTTGAATGCAAGATTTTCAGTTAAAACAAAGAACCATACGGTATACCATGTTAGCTGGTGTAAGATAAAGTCATTCAATCTGTACAATGTATCATTGCAGAAGTTTATTTCTGTTGTTTGCAAATGTGCTATTTGTGGGAGGAAGTGAGAGAAATGATTGACGTGTTTGAACCTGAGCATAATCTAAACTACAGCTGGTGGTTTTGATTTCTTACCTTTGATGTCAGATGAACAGTCCAATTAGCTATAGACAGCAGAAGCTTGAGGATGTGAAATTTTTGTATATTGGTATTCAAAATCTTTCTTTTTACTTTTTTTTGGGTCTAGTTCCTTAAACTTGTACACATGATGGTAGGAAAAAAATAATTCTGGTGGGATTCTATCAATTTTGTACTGTTACTAAAACTATATATTATTATTGCAAAATGAATAATATAGTACAAAAGAGAGAATGAAAGCACTAGAGGATCTTCACTCCATAAAAAGATTGGAAAGGAACAATATCGAACAAATCAAACAACCAAAAAGAGCAAAGAGTGAGACCAAGAACATCATCTAAGTCCTGTAGATTAAGGCCCAGACGTTGAATCCCCTCCAAACAAGCATCTAGAGCAGTCTGGTTAGCCGTCCTACTTTTGCCCCTCATGCCACCTATCATTTCTCTCCTTCCAAATCTTCCATAACACCAATGAAAAGAAACACCTGCAAAGTTTTGTTCTCAGCTGATTTGATGAATGTTTATCCACAAACCATTGTAAAAGTCAGCAATTGCAGCCCTGCTGACTCATCCCTTCCCACCAACAGAGCGGAGTAAACCACAACCAAACTTATCTGAACAAAAGGCATAACCAAAAGAGATGATCAATAGAACCCTCCTTGCTTAAATAATTGGGACGTACTGAAGTTTAATTTACCCCTTCTTTCTCAATTACAAAGAGAAGGTAGGCATTTTGCAGTAGTAATTTCTAGTATTGCACCAAAGGCACTCTAGGAGAAGCCAAATGGGGATCTGATGTGGGAATCTCTGAGGATAATTTGACCCATCAAAAAAGAAAAAAAAAAATCTATAATTTGTTATAAAAGTCAGCTATCCATCCTCTAATGGTTTTCTGATCTATAGAGCTCTCATCGTCCTCATTCTGCAATATAGTGATCGACTTGCGTGCTCTTCTTCACTTTTTTATTTTTTATTTTTTTATAAGTAAAATTCATAAAAGGCACTCAAAAGGGGAGCGCTCCCAAGAGAACAAAAAGCTGCCTACAGCGGCATTACTACTTTAAGCCATCCACTAAATCCTAAAGACTATTGGTAGATATACAATTTCGCCCATTAACCCAAAAGAATAAAGAAGACAGTATATTGTATTTGAGAGTCCAAATAGGAGATTCCTCCCCATCAAAGGATCTCCTATTTCTCTCGCAAGCCCCGCCAAAGACAAAGGGGAGTGGCCCTCCAAGCATCTCTAACTTGGCTCTCCACTATACACCCTTTCCAAGCCTTCAACAAATCAACCGTGGAATCAGGGAATACTCATGCTTCACCAACCTGTTGGTGAAAGAAATTAGTACATTTGTTATTGTCCTTCATCAGGGTTCTAGACCTTTGGAGCCCATAAGATTTCTTCATACTGTAAGACCATTTCAAGGTTTTCTTTAGCAGTCTGCTCCTTCTTAATCATTTGTTCATTGAATGGATTACTTTGCAGCCGAAACTGAATTTCATGCAATTTGTTTCCGTTATCATTAACCCTCTCTGTTTAGAAGCCTTTCCTCTTTTTACACAATTTTATCTCCTTTTTCAAAAATCTTAATTTCTTCATTAGTCTATGAATGGGATTAACCTGCACTGAACTTTGCCAATCCCAAGCTACAATACCTTCAACTTTGTCCATCATGCACCACACCTTTAAAAATTTGTATGGTTTAGTGCCTTCAGAACAAGGCATAGAGGAATGGACTACCACAGCAAAGTGACCAGACAATGAAGCTGCAGATATGACAAACTTAGAATTTGAAGAAGAATTGAGCCAATCTGCATTCACTAATCCTCTATTATTATTCACTCAAGTCCATCCCCATTAACAACAGAAAGATGATTAAGGCCACAGTCATCAATCACTGAGTTGAATGATCTCTAAAAAGGGGGAAAGATTACCCTTTTGAAAAGTATTCTATCAAACCTCCCAACCTACTTCGTGTCTCTTTTCCCTATGCCAAAGACTGTTATTCGAAGGTTGGATGAGATTCAGAGGAACTTTTTATGCGGTGGTATTGGAGATGAGCTCAAGTACCACTTGGTGAATTGGAGAAGGTGTGCTCCACTATTCAGGGGGGGGGGGGGGGGGGGGGGGAGGGGGAGTGGGGGGGTGTTTGATTGGGCATTTGGAGATTGGATTTGTTCAACAAGGCTCTGTTGGGCAGGTGGCCTAGGAGATTTGGGAGAGAGAGGTCCCGTCTTTCGAGGAGTGTTATTGTTTGCCGGTGTGGGGAGGGTGATGGTGGGTGGTTGTCCAGGGAAGTGAGATTTCCAACGGGCATGGGCGTTTGGAAGCTTTATCCGGAAGGGGTGGGACGAGTTGTCTAATTGTATCCAATTTAGGGTTCGGAGCGTGAGTCATGTCAGGTTTTGGGAGGACCGTTGGTGAGGGGATTTTGTCCTAGCTCGTAGATTCCCGCAGCTATTTAGGATTTCCTTGTATCCTCATGCCCTGGTTGCCGACTGTTATCGTCTCGATAACGGAAGGTTAACTTGGGATGTGTAGTTTCGTAGAGAGTTCCATGATTGGGAGCTTATGGAGGTTGCTGATTTTTTAGCCTTGCTCTACAGTCATGTGGTGGAGGGTGTGGGGATGGATGAGATGGTGTGGGTGGGTGCGCCGAGAGGGATGTTTGAGGTTAGGGCATTCTACCATAGCTTGACGGTGATCCCAGGTCCTTGGTCGAAAGCTCCTCTTTTTTCTTTTACCTAGTTAAATTAAACTAGATATAGGAAGTGAGATTGTTTATGCGAAAGAATTGTAGTAGAGTTAGAATTGATGAAGGATAAAACACTGTCTGTCATTTTGTAAATAAATAAAGGTTATAATAGGTAATACAAATTTATAAGTTAATCTCTGTTTCTTTTTTCCCTCTCTTACGCCTAATTTTTTTTTCTTTTATTTTTTTAAATTTTTGATAAGTAAGATTTTATTAAAAACGTTCAAAAGGGGAGCGAAGTCCAAAGAAACAAAAGAAAACAAAATGGCCAAAGGGCGCCTTAGACCTTCAGAGAGGCCAAGAAAACAATAATTTCCTCCATAGATCTATAATCTCTCCCTGAAACCCAACAAAAAAGAGTAGAAATAACAGAGAACTTAAGCATAGAAATAGCCTTCTTTTTTCCGTCAAAATATCTCCTATTTCTCTCAAGCCAAATATACCATCAGATACAAAGCGGCATAGCCTTCCAAGTGTCCTTAATACCAGCCCCAATAGAGACGCCTCTCCAAGCCTCAATCAACCCTCTAGAGGAATAAGGCATGGCCCAATGGACCCCAAATAATCTAAGCATGAAACCCCAACAATCTCTGGCCATGCTGCAATGTAAAAGGAGGTGATCAACAGACTCCTCATTACACAAACACATGTAACAGTGATTGACCACCACCTGATTCCTCCTCCTCAGATTATCCTGGGTTAAAATCTTACCCAGGACAGAGGTCCAAGCAAAAAAGGCGACCTAGTGGGGAGCCTTGGACCACCAAATAGACTTCCAAGGGAAGGGATCTCCATGACCAACCGAAAGGCATCTGAAAAAGGACCTAACCTCAAAATGGCCTTGCGAGTTAGGAATCCAGAACCACCAATCCGATTCCCCAAAAGAAATCACCTGGCTATACAACAGCTCCAGAAAACGAGAAACATCCTCAATTTTCCAATCCTGAAAATGCCTCTTGAACTGAACATCCCAAGACAGTCTCCCGTTATCAAGATGATAACAGTCAACAACCATGGCCTGTCGATGAGAAGCAATCCTATAAAGCCGTGGGAACTAAACATCCCAAGACAGTCTCTTACGCCTAATTTTGGACGAACTAAAAATGAGCAGTTAGGAGGGGTGCTTCCTCCCTCCCTTCCCTTCCCTCCAACCAAACAAGCCAAGACTCTCCCATCCCTCCTCTCATACATCCCTTCTCAATCCTTCCCTTCAAACAAACAGAGCATAAGGTTGATGAGAGTGTAGTCTGGAAAATGAGGTATGGTCTTTAGTGCTGTCTGGTTGGAAGGTTTGACAGAGAGGTGGGTAATTTAGAGCAGGTTGCTTAGGGATTAGGCAAAAGAGGAAGGAAAGGCGAATATTATTATATGACTTTACCACTGCATGCATGGTGTCAAGCAATGGTTGAAGATATCAATGATATGTTTTGGGGTTATAAGAATGTGGAAGTTGACAGGAGTGTGGATGCGGAGAAGGTGGTTTTCCCGGTCAAAGATGGAGGGGAAATTTCGGATTTTGGATTGGTGGAGGACGACAAGGTAAGCTATCGGTTGGCCTTGATGGAGGAACATCTACCAGAGTTGCTTACCATGGAAGCTTCCCCATTGCCAGAGATGAGAAGCGGCTGATCACGGAGGAGGAATGGTGGCATAAACGAGGTGAAGCTGCTAGGTTGGATACGGATTGGAGGAAAGAGAAACCAGAGTTGCTTAGTGACTTGAGTTTGAAAGGTAAGGGATGAAAGGGGATTCAGATGCCCGGAGCGACCTGGGGAGTGTTCGATAGGGGAAATCTCCTATTAACTTGGCCATTTCGGTTGGAGATAACAAGGAAGAAGGGGCAATTGCTCTGTGTCGGAAAAGGCATTTAGGTGAGGCTAAGGAGTGAAATGGTAGCGGTGCTAATGGCGGAGCTGAAAATGCATAGTGGGTTAGAAAGATTGTGTCACTCATGGGAAGGAACCTGCACGAGAGCTGAGGAGTCTTCCGATGGTGGCTATAGCACTTCTATGGAGTGGAGGATGGATACCTCTTTATGCTGACTGCTGAGAGGACGAAGAGGACTTCAAAAAAAAAAAAAAAAAGGCTAATCCCTTGGAGTTTGAGCAGGGTGTAGTGGTATGGGAGGATGAAAGAAGTGATGGGTTGGGCGTGTTTCAAACTCTAGCAGTGGTGGATCCCTATTGGGAGGATGATAAACATGATTGTACAGTCAGTGGAGGATAGGGAGGAGGATTGGTTGATGGATAAGATAGGGGAGATGAGCAAGAGTTTGGGATTGACCTATGAAGGGCATTTGGGACTAGCCATAGTTTTTGCGGAACTAGCCATGGAGTTGTTTCAGCTTATAGACAAGGAGTGGAAGGTGACTAGAGAGAAAAGGAAAACTCAACTTGGCGGGGTGAAAGGGAACTATGTAACTTAATCTTATATGTAACTATGATGGGGGGAATGGGGTGGAGAGGGAGGAGGGTAGAGAAGGAAGGAGCGGGGAGGGGAAAGCTATCATGTGCACATGAATCACTGGATTGTGTTTGGAATGTCTGGGGATTGAATGACCCAGGTAAGAGGAAACTGGTGAAATTGGCGTTGCGTAACTGGGGTGCCCAAGGGGTTTGTTGCTTGCAAGAGTCCAAAATGGAATCTCCTTCCGATGGGGTGGTGAGGAGTCCTTGGGGTGGGTAACTTATTGAGTGGTAGACGCTTGATGCCATCAGGTCATTGGTGCCCAACACTTGATTGATTTGCGGCTTTGTGCGAGAGCTTTCAAGGAGAGAGTTATGAATTTGTGGGAGGGCTTTAGTGTGGAGGGCAACTTGAGCTTTGTTTTTGTGAATAAGCTTAAATTATTAAAGGTTATAAAGAAGTGGAATAGGGAGTTTATAAAGAATAGATTCTTGATGGAGATTGTTGAGCTAGAATGGAAAGAGGGAGGGGTGGATTTGGATAACATATAGAAGGGTAGCTGTCATCTTAGCCCGGTAGCTGCAACGACAAATGATCTGATGCACCATTCCACAAAAGCATGGAAAGAGGAGCAGGACTAAGATTCAAATTGAGCATATCAGCAAGCCAATTCCAAACCTCCTTGGCAAAAGGGCACATGAAGAATAGATGATTAGTTATGTAATATTATGATAACAGTTGACACAAATTGAGGCAAGTTGAACACCTCTCCTTTGCAGATTACAATTCTAGAGTATTTTCATAAAGTGTGCAAAGTAAAAAAATCATATAGATATTCTGTACTGAAGACCGGAAGAACATTTGTTCTGCGGATTAATTCAATGTCACTAATGCATTGAAATCTTCTTATTTTATCCTTTGAAATATCTGAAGACTTGCTGAATAGGCTCATTCTAGTAATCTCAATACTAGCCAATGGTAGTCTGCTTATTACTTTGGTTTTCAATTAAAAAAGTTGAAGTCTCAAGTAAAAAAAGTTGATAGAAGATTCCAAATCACTTATTGCTGAGTACAGCTGTAAAGGTTTTCAACCTCAATTTTGTCTAAACATGGTGACATGGGAGAAAGCTAAATATTCGTGTAAGATTATGATAGTTAATCAAAAAGTTCGGGCTGGGTTGCACTAGCAGGTTGACACCACTGAAATTTTGACAATGTTATTAGTTATTTGGACAGTGAGTACAAAAATAATAATAATTATGCTATTTTAGTTTTTCTTTAATTTTGGGTTGAGATTTGAGGGCATTTTTATTAATCTTATGTGGTGCCTTCACTTAAACTGTTGAAGTAGATGCAATGATTGAAGGACATTTGTTTTGTAACAGTGGTCCTTCATTGTGATATCATTTTTTTTGCTGTTACTTTTTCAGGTATGTGGATGTGATCCTTCAGTTGATTGACAAAGCAGGAGATTTTGTCAGTGATGACATTTGGTTTCGTGTCGTACAGTTCGTCACAAACAATGAGGACCTACAGGTGACTATAACTTTTGTTACATATGCTCCATTCTATAAGTGGCTACGTCTTCATGTGAAGTTCATTTGATTAATATTTGCTTACATCATTTTATCAGTCTTACGCAGCTGTGAAAGCCAGGGAGTATCTTGATAAGCCTGCTATACATGAGACAATGGTCAAGGTGTGTGCTCTGCATATGATTTTTTTACATTTCACATAATATGTGTAAAAGAAGAATGCCTTAAAGTTTATTTGGATGGCACAGTGCTAATAAATTCTTTATCAGATTTAAATATTTGTATGGCGCTTTATTGCGGACTAAAACATTGGTGTAGCCAACCCCAAGTTGTGATACATTATTGAGTAGAGTTCCGGAGCTTAGTTAAATTTTAGTTTGTCTTTTATTCGCTTCACCTCCTGGATGAACATTTTATTCGGATGACATGTTATCGATATAAGGAACAATTTATATGGATTTGTTTGAGAGGTTGTTGCCTGTTTGTTGAGCAAGATGACTGTTGTAAGTGAGAGGAAAAACCAGGACTGGGAATTTTGGTGGCATCCAAGATTGTTGGAAGAATACCCCATTAAGTTGCGCTCTTATGTCTTGGACTTGTCACTTCAGTAGTAGGTCAATGGAGAGTAACATGGTTACATGTTACAGTGTAGGAGTATTTTGCTAGTTTTTGCATTACCAAGTGACATGAAGAATGGGATTTTTCCCTTTCTTTCATGACTTCCTTTTCCATTGTTCTTAGTCATTTTATAATTTGATTTCACGAATGACAATTAATTGTTGAACTTTCTATTGGATCATTATCAATTTCATTTTGTTAATATATTTTCGATTTTGTTTCTATGGAGTAGTTAAGTGCTTATCTACTTGGAGAATACAGCCACCTTCTGGCTAGGCGGCCTGGGTGTAGTCCGAAGGAAATTTTTAGCATCATACATGAGAAACTTCCTACTGTTTCGTAAGAGCACTTAAATCTTTGCTGCTCTTATTGTCTCTTGTTAATATTTGCTGTCCATTTTATGTATTCTAATCAGCATATTTTTTCTTCAGGACTTCAACAATTCCTATTCTTCTTTCAACATATGCTAAGATTTTGATGCACACTCAACCCCCAGACGCGGAGCTGCAAAATCAGATTTGGGCAATATTTAGCAAGTGTGAAAAACCTTTAGAAATTCCTAATTTTTTAATTTTGAAGTTGTTGTTTTACTTTATCACAAAATACCTCAAAATTTATTTATCAAACATGCATCGTTTCAGATATGAGAGTTGCATTGATGTTGAGATTCAGCAGCGAGCTGCTGAATATTTTGCATTGAGTAGGAAAGGTGAAGCTTTAATGGATATATTGGCTGAAATGCCTAGGTTCCCTGAGCGCAAGGTATGTTTATGGGCTCTGCAATATCTCCCATATGCTGTCATATTAGTTCATCAATAAATTTGATTAAATGGGATTATCTCCCATATGTTTAGTCTGCATTGTTAAAAAAAGCTGAAGATACTGAAGCGGATACTGCGGAGCAAAGTGCTTTGAAGTTAAGGGCGCAGCAGCAGACTTCTAATGCTTTGGTAGTGACTGGCCAATCCCCTGCTAATGGAACTCTACCTGTGAACCAGCTTAGTCTGGTCAAGGTGCCTAGCATGAGCAATAAGGTGAGATCTCTCTCTGCTGGATGCTTCATGAACTACAGAGTTGAAATTTGAAGATCTTATAGTTTTTAATTTCACTTGGGTATTGATATGAGGTTGAGTGTTTGGACAGGATCATAACTCAGCAGACCAAGGGTTGACTCAGGAAAATGGGGCTTTGAGTGTAGTGGATCCTCAGCCTCCTGTCCCTCCAACTGATGTTCTTGGTGATCTTTTAGGTCCACTCGCTATTGAAGGCCCTCCTGGTGCTGCTGTTCAGTCTGAGCATAGTTTGGTTTCTGGATTAGAAGTTGTTTTAAATGCAGAAGAGAGTCTAGCCATTGCAACTGTTGAAGAGCAAACAAATACTATCCAGGTACTGCTTTTGGTTGCTTTAATGCATAATATAGTGATCAACGGTGGATGTTGTTGGTTCCTTTCCTATGGGATTCCCACGATTGTTATGCCAAATTAGAGTCTGGTGCTGCAATCTGTTGTCTTTCCTGAATTCTTGAACATTCCAAACTTAACGAATTCATTAAAATCCTTTAGTATTCGTGTCCAATTGAACTCTCGAATTGTGAAGTATTAATCTCTTGAAGCAAGTTAATATTTATTGATGATGTACTCAATTAGAGCTGCTCTTGGGACGCGTTCCCCTTTTAAATGCTTTCTAATACATTTTTACTTATCAAAAAAAAAAAAAATTATAGCTGCTCATTTACTTTTCAAAATATATATGTATATATATATATATTTACGTATATATCTGCTCAATTATTGAAAACTCAACTCAGTGAAGGAGCCTAGAATGAGCCCCAGGTTAGTTTTGGTCACTCAAATGATAATTATTAAGATTTCAACATAGTGCCTTTTAAGTTGGGTATTGATTTTTTGTGTTAATTTTTTCAACGGTATAGTCAGTAGGGTACCTAATTTCTTTGTCAAACATGTAAAAGTTTTAAGTATTATATCTGTGGCAATGCATATGAAAATAGTTATCTTGTTTTTATTGTGCTAATTTATGCCTTTACTGCTGGTTTTGTCATGCGTGTTTTCAGCCAATAGGAAATATTGCTGAAAGATATCATGCTTTATGCCTGAAGGATAGTGGTGTTCTGTATGAGGATCCTAATATTCAGGTCTGCAATCCTTTACAGGGTTCCCTCTGACTGTAATGTATTGGAACTTAATTATCACTTGTTCTGTAAAGGAATCTGGTTTAATGGTGATACAAATTGATAGTAATATCCTAACTTGTTTATTTCCATTTGACAACCATTTCAGATTGGCGTTAAAGCAGAGTGGCGAGCCCATCATGGCCGTCTCGTCCTTTTCCTGGGAAACAAGAATACTTCCCCACTTGTTTCAGTTCAAACTTTGATATTACCTCCCTCCCATTTGAAGATTGAGCAGTCATTAGTACCTGACAGTATTCCCCCGCGGGCACAGGTCTGGCTACTGCTTTCGCTTTTCATTTGTGTAGCTTTTTGCTAAATTAGTTAGCTGCTCGTTTGTCTTGCATACATATATTGGTTTTAGTTGTGACTATATTATTTATTTATTTTTTTGTTGCTTATTTAGGTGCAATGCCCACTTGAAGTCGTGAACCTCCGGCCAAGTAGGGATGTTGCAGTTCTCGACTTCTCCTATAAGTTTGGAACCTATGTAATACTACTTATAAATGAAGTTCTTTGATTTATGCCCTCACAATACAAGAATACAAGTAACTGTTATCAACATTATGCATTCTTTTTTGCCCTCATATAGGTCAATGTCAAACTTCGCCTTCCTGCTGTCTTGAACAAATTTATTCAGCCTATAACGGTGTCCGCTGAAGAGTTTTTCCCACAATGGAGATCACTTTCTGGACCACCTTTGAAACTTCAAGAAGTGGTACACACATTCTGCCTCCTGCTTAGCCTAAAAATGTGGTCTAAAGTTGCTTGTTGGTATATCTTACTATGACATCATTTGTTGCTTCTGACCATTCCAAAAATAATGACAATAAGTATTTATAATATGTTTATCAATTGAATTTCAACAGATTATACATATCCTCTTGCAACTCATGCATAATTTACATAGATTTGATGCATGGATTTCTTATTCAGAAATAATAATCCATTTTGTTTGAAGATAATTAGATGTTGGGCATGACATTGGCTTCTAAATCATTCAGCAACCTACTTAATTGGAGAGGGTCTACTGTTTTGCCATCTCATTGTCGTGCACTTGTTACTTCAGAAAATTAATTCATGGTGTAGAAGTCTGGAAAAGAATAGAATAAATTAAAGAAAGTCGGGAATAGAAGATAAAGGTGGTGCTGGTCGGAGTGGTGCCCACTGGAGGTGTCCAGAATGGGGCACACCAACAAGGGGCACCGGCCTGACATAGGCATGCCTGGTAATGACACCCGCCAAGGGGTGCCCACAATAGGGTACCTAGGATGGTGCATGCACCACGGGTGTGGGGTGTTGGGGGGGCCACCCACCCACTTGTGTGAGTGCCCATAATGGTGCTCTCAAGGGGGGCCACTCACTAGGGCCGTTTGCAAGTGATGCGATTGGGCATGGTGCCCCGGTCAAGTACCCAAGGGGTAGTGTGCCCATGCATGGGGCAGCGTACGGCCTAGGTGGCATGCCTGGGTAACACCACCCTTTTATATGGTGTGCCTAAGGATCTTATGTCCGAGGTAGCTCACTTGACGTCTCGTGCAGACTTTGAGAAAGGCATCGCTATCAAGGACGACTTCAGGAAGATCCTTTGACTATATCTGATTTGGACTGCAAACTGGGAAGCATTATGTACTAATCTAGCCCACTCTAGAGAGTCACAACTATGTGCCGGTGTGTTGATCATCTGGGTTGTTCTCAGAGTGATGATCAATCCACACGTGATGCAGAAGAAGCAGTCAACAATGCTAAGTACCCAGCTATTGCCATGGTAACCCTGGATTCCATTGCTTATGCCACTTTGGATTAGCTGCAGGCACTAGCAGAAGAAGAAAAGAGGAAACCAGTTTGGTTGGTGAGTTAGGAATACACAGTAAGATGGTAAAGAGGGAAAATCCAGGGAGCACATTACAAGGTTTATTGACATGCTTGGTGCCCACCAGGCAATGGAAACTCACGTCTTATGAATTTTCCAAATCCCTTAGGAGTCTGGCACACACTTGGACTTGGCTCACGAATCTCGTCTGGTCAGTAAAATCATGGTTGGATATGCTAGCAAAGTTCAATGCCAAGTTTTCCAAGCTGAAGAGAAGGTAAGCATTCTCTTTCTCACAGGGCGAACATGGCAGCAACGACATCACCGAGTAAGACAAATGCTTTCAAGGAGTTTCTCTTGAATGTTATGAGTCGGTAGCCAAGGAAAAATTGGTGAAATTTTTTAGGCGGAATGAGTCGAGAGTATAGGTTGCACTTGGTTAACCATGAACCCAAGACATGTTTAGTTTGATGGAGAAAGCCCCGCACCTTTGTGAAATCTATCTATGTCCCTACTTACGAATGGAGGAACACGAGGTAGATAGCAGTAGTGGTGGTTGTTGTCAACAATGACTCAATTAGGGACAATTAGTACCCTTCTAATCGGCAGAAGCCTAAGCAGAGCAGCCTACCCTTAAATGCATGGGTTGTCAACGGTGTAATAACCGTTGCTGCTGTAACCAAAACTCTCACAAAAGAAGAAAAGGAGAGAGGTAATAACTGCCATTTTCACCACATTGTCAGACACGCAATAACAGTTTGTTGGGTGTTTTGCAAATTCGTTCATGGAAATATTGTTGCAGGGGAGTTGGAAATCTCACCCATATAGGAACCTTAACTGTGACATGAGGCAAACATGGCGAGAAATGTCATGACAGCCCTCATCGAGGAAGTAGCGATCGGTGTGGAAGATGAAACTCTGGAGGACTTGTTCACACGGTTTTGCAATGTTTTATATGTTCATCCGGAATCCAGGGATAGGTTCAAGAACAAAATCTTAGATTTGGTAAAATATTCTCATGATTAAAAGATCTGGTTTGTTATTTTGCAGTGTGTGAGGCAGTGGTAATATGTACGTCTCTTTCTTGAGGCAGATCTTTTTGCACAAAAGGCCCTTGTGTGTACCCCGCAAGGGTCAATGGGGTGAATTTCAAGAGGGCCTTCCTAGATAATGGAGTTTGAGTAAACATCATACCTGTTTCTACGAGGAAGATAGCAAATATAACCGAATCGAGGATGATGACTTAGCTTATAAGCATTTGAGGGTTTCACCAGCGAACGGCAAAATTTGCTTTGGTTTGTTATGGTTGATTTGAAGGTGGGAAAAAGTAGGGCCCTAATACACTTCAATGTGAATACAGGCGAGCCGTCATACCAGCTACTACTCGGAAGACCATGGATACATGCCAATGGAGTTGTCCCGTCATCATAACATCAGGTCATGAAGGCAAATTTGGGAAGCGGAATCATGACGGTTTTAGGAACTTCAAATCCGTTTGCACCAGGCTCACCTCACCACACGAATGCGGTATTTTTCTGCGAGTTCAATGAAGAACGAGGGACTAACGAATTCTATGCAACTCCTTTACCCGATTGGGACGACCTATTGAAGGAAAGCTCCAAGCCAACTAAGAAGAGCAACTCTGTCAGGGAGGAAATCAGAAGCTTCTGATCTCGTGTGTGGCTAATCCCTTGCCATGGAAGAAATGAAGGTTTGTGCGAAGTGAAAAACACTTGCATGATGAGCCAAAGGGGCATGATCAAGAATTGGTACAAGTCAGCATCTACAGGGATCAAACCTATGAAGCATGGACATGCCCAAAAGGGGTGCCGTGACACGTGTCGAACAGGTGTCCAATTTTTTTTTTTGTTTCAAGCTCGGACACGTCAAAGGATATGTCGGACATGTCGGCGACATGCCAGGGACACACCGGTTCGGATTTTTTTGGAAAAAAAGAAAAAGAAAAAAAGAATAGAGAATGAAGGTGCATATATATATATATATATATGCGAGTTTGTATTCATTCACTGAAGATCTATTAAGTGTGACGACTAATCTAGAAATCTAAAAATAAATAAATGAAGAGATTGAGGGGATGAGAGGGCAACCATTGGAAATAGAGAGGAACAAAGAGCAAGATCTTCTGTGGGTCTTGGGTTTTACCGGCGAAAAAGATGAACCTCTTACTTTCCTCTTATTGGATTTTGAATCTCAAGGATTCTTTGTGGTGTAATGTTGGGACTCTTGACTTGACTGAATGACTGAGAAAGGGAGAGAGGTGGAGTAGATGGTGAGGAGAGAAGTCAGAGAACCACGTGTGGGAGAGAGAAATGGGATCGGAGATAGCTACGGTGTCATCTTAAAAGGTGTGTAAAAAAACCAAATAAATTAAAAGGCATATATGTTTGGTTATAAAGATAGCTTATTCAACTGTTGGATACAAACTTATATTTTAATAAAATTTAAACTTTTGATTTTTATTTTAAGAGTAGTAGGGATTATTTGCTTAGCCTAATTTAAATATGGATAAAAAAAAATAATAAAGATAAAAATTTATATATAATAAAAATATATATTTTATTATTTTATTGCCGTATCCTTGCCCTATTTGTGTCCTATTTTTTTTTTTTTAAATTTGATATATCGCTGTATCCGTATCGTGTCGTACCCGTGTTCGTGCTTCATAGAATGAAACAGACAGACCAATTTTCATATGTGTGGGGCTTCACTAGGCAATAAGGGAGCAGCTGGTTGAATTATTCAAATCATACAAGGATGTATTAGCATGGCATTATAGTGAAATGTTTCTCCTCGACCCGAATGTTGTGGCACACCATCTAAATGTTAGGCTATCTGTGGTGCTGAGCAAACAACCACAAATGACATGCCATCCGGAACTTGAAGTCTAAATTAAGTTAGAAGTCCAAAAACTAATGGATGCGGAATTCATAATATCTATTCAACACCCATTAGGGCTGGCAAATATAGTCTCGATTTGTAGGAAAAATCCCTAAAGGATGACTTCCCTCTCCCTAATATGGATACCCTAGTAGACGCTACTGCGGGACACCAAATGTTTTCATTTATGAATGGCTTTAGCTGCCATAATTAGATAAAAATGGCCCCATTGGGAAATTTTGCTACACCGTCATACCATTTTGGAAAGTTCTTCGGATGTGTTGTCCATCGTCGAGGTGTAGATCCTGATCCAACTAAAACAAAAGCAATAATTGACATGAGTCTGTCAACTACCAAAAGGGCTGGCCATGGCTTCTGGGAATTTTTTTGTAGCTGGGGAGATTTATTTTAGGCCTCTAGAATTAAGTCTGCTGTTCTTTCTCTTTTAAAAAATAAGGTCATGCTCAAGTGGAACCCAAACCAACAGGCCTGTGGCCTAGCGGTACAAGGCTCCTACTTCTCAAAAGGAGGTCAGGGGTTCGAACCTTAGTGGAGGCAGTGTGTGTGAGTCCCAACTAGGAAAAAAAAAAAAAAAAAAGCATTTGAAAAGATAAAGCCAGTCTTGTCATCACCAAAAACCACAATAACTCCCAATACAGAGAGCCTCTTGATGCAGTAGTTATAATTTGTTCCATCAAACTTGATATGCAAGTGTGAGATTGATCATTCTCTGCAAGGTGTTGTGTGTAGGTTTATTTACCCGTCATGCATCAGTCAGTTCATAATTCTGCTCTTTAAATTAAACTTCCTATGCACTCGAGCAATACTGCTTGGCAGTTGGTACTCTTCTTCATCATGAAAACGTTCTGACATTATCTAATACTACCTCCGTCCCATTTTAAACGTCGGCTTCGGGAACCGTGACTCACAAATTTGTGAGTCACGGTTCCCAAAGCCGACATATAAAATGAGACGGAGGTAGTAGCATATTCTTTTGAGCAAGTAACCATGTGCGACCTTGTGAGGTATCTCTTGTCCAGGCCTCATTGGAAGAACAACCAAATGGTTGTTCGCTCTAGGTTTATTTACCCGTCATGCATCAGTCAGTTCATAATTCTGCTCTTTTAATTAAACTTACCAATTTGTTTTACCTTTACACTTGTAAAAATATTAGTTTACAATTGTTTATTTGGGCCTGGACATGTCTGGTTCTCCATCCCTCTCATCCTATACTTAACATCCACCAAGCAGTCAATCGGGCCATTACTTGAACAAGAACTATATGGCAAGGAGCGAGCGGTGTACTACCTGTACTGAGGGGCGCTGAGTCACGGTACACCGCACTTGAGCAACACTGCTTGGCACTCTTGTTCATCACAAATACGTTCTGACATCATTTAATGGCGTATTCTTTTTGAGATAGTAACCATGGGTGACCTTGTGAGGTATCTCTTGTTCGGGCCTCATTGGAAGAAGAACCAAGTGGTTTTTCGCCCTAGAGGAGTTTGAGATCACTTGTTCGCGATCAAAGGTTAATGTTAGATTACACAAGTACTATAATATCCCTTGCCTACCACCTAGGGTTTCCAGCACACCTACACCTACCCAGTTACCATATATACCTACACCTATCTAGTTACCATGTATAGATGACTTGATCATCACTCACCTACCCCCAAATGTTCTCCCATATATAGGACCCTTTTGTATTCTTCAATTATCCAATACAATAGAATATTTTGATTCCTTTATTTCTAACAGTTATAAAAAGTCAATCCTTAGCAGACCGAGTGGTATTGTTCCTGGGAGAGTGCGAGCACGTTGAAGAGGGGCTAGAGCAAGAATGTAAGGCAGCTGGCGTGGAGGAATGGACCACATCCTTCGATGATCGTGAACTAGAAAGTAAGGATGTGTGGGTGTTTCACTGCGTAAGTCGCTGTCGGGGAGAGCAATCAAACTTTAATACAAGTGGGAGTTCAATTGCTCGAACAATGAAGCGGAGTAGAAGCATTCCTTCTTACTCCATTGGCTTGTCTGTCAGGAGGAACTAAGGCTATCAAAGTTAAAGGTTACTCCAATCTTGTGGTCAAGCAAACATATGAGGATTAGGTTGTAAAGGAACCCAGTCTCGCACTCAATAGAGAAGTAGTGGAAAATAGTGGAAAATCTCCTTGGTGAATTCAAGTCTGTGCCCTTTGAACAATCACCTAGAACTGCAACTAATCAGCTAGACGCACTTGCCATGTTGGGAGATCGGGTCAACACGCTGGAGGAAGAGATAAGATTGGAGGACGCCCACTCGGCAGGGCGGGGGGTGCGCCCACAATGGGTGCATGGTAATGGCGTCCACAACAAGACAGCTACCAAGTGGTGCCTACAAGGGACGCTCCTGGGCATTTTGCCCCCAAGGAACCAGTGCCCAGGATGTAGTGGTCCCTTGTGGCAGCAATTTTCTGGGGCAGTGTGCACCCCAGATACCATCTGAAAGAGTATCGGCACTTGCGCGCAAATTGTCATTGCCCAGGAACTCTACTTGCATCATGACAAGATCAGGGTGGAAAAGGGATTGTTGAGGCATGAAGGATTGGGCAAGGAGCCTGTTAGGGCGGAACGGGCTGCTTGAACCATGACTCGGGGGATGAGGCTCCCACATCTTGACCACAGAATAATGGAGGGACACGTGGCACGTGAATAAGCTGACTCATGTATTCTTTTTTCTAGTTGCTTTCGGCTTTTGGTTTATTCATTTGGGAGTGCTCCCCTCTTGAGCGCCTTTAATGAAATTTTACTTGTCAAAAAAAATAAAAAATAAAATAAAATAAAATAAAGAAGCCCATATCCTGGCACCTGCCCGCAATATTTTAAATAGCTATGCTAGGTGATATGTTTTTTTTCCTACCTCAGAGATTCTGCCACCCTCCCTGTTCTTTCATTTATTCCCTTGTGTAAGTTCATTACCAGTGCCTCCCATTCTTCCTTTTTCCCTTCTTTGTCTTATGCCATCTCTGGAAATGCCTTACCACCAGAACCTATCCTCTTTCAGAAGTAAAATTTCAAAAAAATGTTAGGCATGAGGATATATAACTTGTTAAAACTAATATATGAGACATGGTAAATTTTTCCTAAGCTTCATGATATACAACTCAACTGTATTGTCTTTTTCCCAACGATTGAAGGGAATGCCCTAGCATTTGCTTAGATATTCTTGGGATTCATTTTCATATCGTCTTGACAAAAGTTTTACATTCGACTGTCAAGTTGCCTAGCACAAACCTCCTTATTCTGAGCTTGGGACCAGCTGTGTAAACATAAAAACACCAAACACAACATAGTCTAAGTTTCAAACTTAATAACATATATGAAAACTTTTTAAGAATTATTCTTCAGTTTTTTTTTTTTTTTTGTTTTTTTTTTTTTTTCAAAAGGTAAGAACTATTCTCTAGTTGAATGAATAGATTTTGCAACAATGATTTTGACTGAGGTCGTTATGCTGCCAAACCAATTGTAGCAAAAATTACAAGTATACATGAAAATCTACAAGGGTGGGTGAGGTTAAGGATCAAATTTATAGCTGTCCCAAAATAAAAGAGAGAAAAGGGGCGTGGGGGGGAAGGGAGTGTAGGGGCTCATTATGCTGATCAGTCGATAGTCAACCTTCAACCATCCTCAACGACGGCAAAATTACCTGCACTGTCAGGTTACTGCTCCGCCCCTCCATTTGGGATGATTTTGAGGATGTTTAATAGGACTAGGGTGGGTATAGTGTGAGGGAGTAAAAACCCGCACGAGTTTTAGTCGGGGGACAGGGAAAGGAAGGTACCCCCACCCCTCCCCTCTCCATTTATGATGTGAAATTACTTTGACACCCCTGTACCTTTACAGAATATACTAAAATGTAATAATTGAGTTTCTTAACAAATATAGTAATTGAGTTTCCTGATTCTCTTATGTTGAGTTCTCATGTTCCTTTGTCATGTTGACAAAAATGGGGTGAGGGAATTTACTTTAACACTGTAAAGTACCCTGTTTGCACTGTATTTCCAACGTGTTGACACATATCTATATAACCAATTTTCTCTTTGAAACTTCTCAGGTTAGAGGTGTAAGACCAATGTCAATCATGCAAATGGCAGACTTATTTAACAGTTTCAGGTTGATGGTTTGTCCAGGGCTTGTAAGTTTTTAATTCTCTCTCTGGGTGTTCTCTTTTCCCAGCATGTCAAAATTATCTTACTGTTTCATTTTCTGTTTCAGGATCCTAATCCAAATAATTTGGTGGCAAGTACAACCTTCTATTCAGAGAGTACAAAAGCCATGCTGTGCTTGGTAAGGAATAATTGCCCTTTTATAGCTAGTTTATAAATGGTATTATCTGTCCCTGATGGTGTTATTTCAAGCCCAAAAATAAAACTAAAAATAAAAATAAAAAATAATAGAAAAGGTTACAGTATTTGGGGACCTCATGAAGTGTCTTTAAAGCTTCATTTGGTTCAAAGGAAAAAATACTGAAAAGTGAAAGTAATAGAAAGTGAAGTAAACGAAAGGAAAAGAAATGTCTCAACATGTATTTGGTTAGACTGAAAATTTTGGAAGAAAATTGTAGAAGAATTCAATTTGTGGTTTCGTTAGCATGAAAGTTGCAAGAAAATATTATTGTTTACCAAATTGTCCTTATTCATGTTAAATAGGACAGGAAGTTCCAAAGGATTTGTCTCAATTACCAAAGGGCCTATAGCCCAACGGTATAACCTCCCAATCCTCAAAGAGGAGGGGAGGGGTTCAAGTCTGGGCGTGGACAAAGTGTGTGTGATAAAAAAAAAAAAAAAAACAGAAAAAGAAAAGAAAAATTAAATCAAAGAAAGGATTTGTCTCAATTCTATACTTTGGTCTTTCTTAGAAACTAGTATTGTGAAATCTAAATAAATAATTTTCTAGGACATTCGGAGAGAAAAAGAGGACTATTGTACCATTATTTTAAAAGAATGTGTAAACCTATTTTACTTTAGTGAGTTAAAAAGAAAGAACATAATTATAAAGCTCAAAGTTCAAAAGGTGTCAAGCCAATAGACTGGTTCGCTGATTGAGGCAAGTACGATGATAAGATTGACTCCATTGTACATGGCTTTCCCAAGTAAAATTTTTGGAGACGTATTTTGGAAAGTTAAGTGGCTATGGAAAATTGCTTTTCTCATATTTTTTCTTTTCATGCTATCTGAACTCTTAAACTAATTAATAAATAAAAATCCATATCCTTAACTATCTACTTTCAATCTAACTAAGCCAAGCATGAGGCTAAACTCATTTACACAATTTGGGGACTACCTTTTCTATTCAGAGAAACATAAGTTTGTGAATCACAAGTGTTGGGGGAGGCTACTTTATATTGTTGAATTGTTTTGTTCTTTGTTGAAATTATGTTTTTTAGGTCTTTATGGATATGATCAGCTTAGGAAGGTCGATGTGTCAGAAAAATAATAAATGCCTTGAACTATAATCTCTCATTTCATTGGTTCTGTGGATATTTTTGAAAGGTTCCTAGTTGTTCATTTTCTTTCTTATTGGTGGTATTCAGATAAGAATGGAGACTGATCCAGCAGACAGAACACAGCTGCGTATGACAGTCGCCTCAGGGGACCCTATGCTAACATTTGAGTATGTCATCAACTTCCAAGTTCCCTCCTCTACTTCCAACTTTATTTTAACTCTACAATTTATCTGGCCACCTATAATGCAGGTTCAAGGAGTTCATCAAGGAACAATTAATTAGCATCCCAACAGCTTTGCAGGGACCCGCACCAGTGCCTACACAAGCTCAACCAATCAGTGTAGCGACAGCATCATCAGATCCCGGGGCCATGCTTGCTGGTTTGCTTTGAAAAGTTGGATATAATTTATACAAGATTTGTGCATTACTACACTTGTAAAACTGATTATACAGCAGCCCCACCCATCTATTCCCAAAGACTTAGAGGTGGATGACGAACAATAGAATGCAGCGGCTGGCAGAATTGAGGGTGACCTTATATGCGATCATCGGCTTAGTGTTTGAGTTGGATTTCTGAGGTGGTTGGTTCGGCATTTTGAGATTCTTTTTCAAATTTACATTGTGCTTTATGAATTTTTTGTCTGTTTTTTCCTTTTATTTTTTCGGGTGAGGGGTTTATTTCTTTTTCTTTTCAAAATTACATTGTGCTTTTGTCCTTGTCTAGCCAGGTTTAAGTGGATCGTTTTCTGTCATACAAACAGCATGCGAGCAACTGAATAGAACTAGTTGTGTAACAATCCTGTGTCAATCTGTATTTATATTTTTAAAAACGAAAGTGTACGACAAAAACAAAAAAAACAAGAAAGTCCTGCAGCATCAATTTGTTTGTATTCTTTGCCTTGGTGTTGAAAGGATTAATGTAGTTCAAAAGAAATGGGAGGAAGGGAAGGGGTGCTACTTGTTACATTTTTTTAAAGATTTTACTTCTTGCAATTGGTCCGCTTTGCTTGCCTTAACCCTGTAATAAAATGGAAAATAATTTTTACACGGAGTAGTTGCATTGTTTTTAATTAGTCATCTATGCAAGAACTAAGGGAGTGGGATTCTCCACTTGCTTTTGTTCTATATAAATAACCCATCAAAATTGTTCGGTTAGGCAATTTACTGTAACTCTACTCTTTGGCCTGAGTATCACTACTCTAATAAAATTTGTGACTTTTCCCTGAATGTCCAACCAGACCTTCAATCCATCTGTATCAGGGAATTAGCAGCTGCCAAATAGCAAGAAGATGGTAAGCTGGAGTATTGTTCATAGGGACTCTGCAGATAGAAGCAAGGCTCGATCCAAGTGTCATTAGCTTATTGTCCGTCACTCCATATATGGTATACTCTAGATGATAAATCTAGCTTAAAAGTAATGTTTTAGAAGGAATTGCTCTAAAAATTTACGGCATTCCAATGAAGAATGTCAAGCCACTAAGAGAATCTAGAAATAGGCTAGAGAAAAGTATTACTTTTATGCTTATATTCGGTAGAACCGAATTGAAAGTTTGGATTTGGAATTAGAAAAATTATTTAAAATTTGTGTTAAATATTTTTCAAGCACCGATTTGGTTCGTAAATCTGAGTAGAGAAGTATCATTCGAAAAACAAATGATTATGATCTTCCAGTGGAAAATTGTAGAAGTAATACTTCATAGAGGATAAGTAACCCATGGATTGCCTAAAGAGATCAAATAACATCATTGAACGGATATATAGAGCAATGTGGATTATTCAACTTAAATGCTGATTTAGCACAGAGAGTGCTGGAAGGAGATGACAACCATATGGCAGTCAAATGAATGGGAATTAGGCTTTTAGCTGAGTTAAGAGCCAGACAAGAAATCAGGCATGGTATTTAATCTGTGGAGAGCACTGGGAATGAACCATTGGTATGTCCTTTATGATTGCCCTAACCGCAGAATTCCTTGATAACTTTGATATATGCATGATTCTGTCACCAAACTTGTTAGAAATAAATCATATGGGAAACCAGTAATCACAACAAAGGGGGACGAACTTATGAAGAGGTGTGTATATATATGAATATATGTATAGAGAGAGATGGTTTCAGAGAGAGAGAGAGAGAGAGAGTCTCCTTATGGAGGGGTTGTGTTTGTTAAAATTGGAAGAAATGGCCTCTTATTTATAGAAAAGGGAGTGACAAATTCGAAATTCTTAGGAGAATAAGCAAGGATCAGGGGCCCAAAATGATTTCTGAAAGTGGATATAAAAGTAGGGCTCAGATTTCGAGAAGCAATAAAGTAGGGGGTGGCACGCCTAGATAAGTGCCACCCTTGTAACCTCTTGTTTGGTGGAATTACAAAAGTGCCCTTAAACTTCTAAAATTTGTAATTTTACCATTTTTTAAAAATTTTGATGTGAGGATGATACCACACATATGATGTCATCTATTTGATTCCCTAGTGAGGCCTGGAAAACTCAACACAGGTATGAATTGATTGTTTTGCCAATAAGAGTGGAATTTTGGGCAAAGAAGGATTTAGACAGAAGCATAACCAATATTATAATGGTTTTTAAAGTTTTGAAACCTTCTTAATGCAATGGCAATGTATGTTCGTCCATTAGACAATTCATTTGAAAAGTCAAAGTTGAAGTTGACCGCTTGACCCCTGCCAAAGGTTTGGTCAAAGATGGGCCTAAAGTGAAAGGTAGGCAATATTATAATGCTTTTTAAAGTTTTTGGATCTTTTAAGCACAATGGTGATGTTTATGGTAGAGCTTTACTGTTGGTTTGAAAAGTCAAACTTAGAGTTGACCATTTTGCCGAGGGTTGGCAATTCATGTTGGTGGGTTGTGCTTGTGTCATGTCAAGACATATGTATCTTGATAAATGGGTCAACACAAATACAACACGATTATTATTCATAACAAGAAATCCTAACACGAACATGATACAATTATACACGGGTAACACAACACAACACGCGTAACCCATTTAATAAGTGGGTCAATAGGTGACATGACACAAAATGACACGAGAAGACACGTTTAAGTCATTTTTGACACGAATACGACATGTTTATCCGACACATGTAGTTAAACGGATCATTTTTAACACGAACACAACATGTTTATCTGACACATTTAGTCAAATAGGTTAATCGGGTTATAAACGGGTTGGTGGGTCAAACACGAGCTCAACACATTTAATTACCATGTCAATACGGGTCGACAAGATTATGACCCGAACACGATTAAGCTAAACCCAAACCTACTTTTCTTTTTGAAGGATTTGAATTTGAGAAAGAGGCAATAGGTTGGGTTCATGGAGGACTACAATTTTGATTTGCAGTATCATCCCGGAAAGGCGAATGTAGTAGCAAATGCCTTAAGCAGAAAGTTTCGTGGTGTTTTGGCTAGTATAGCCATATGGGAAAGGAAGATGATGGAGGACTTAGTGAATTTGGGATTGTATTTTAAAGATCACTACAAGATTTGTAGGTTTCACCAGCAGTTTTTTACTACCAGAAAATCGCCGAGAAAATCATTACTGGCGGTTTGGAAAAGCTGCCAAGAAAGCCTCTGTCGAGAGCTTTCCTAATAGTTTTTTTAAATCACCGGTTAAGTTAAAAATGTCAGCATACCGGCATTTTACTGGCAGACTAGAACCGCCAATGAATTCTTTTTTATTTTTTTTATTTTTTTTTGTTTGTAAAAAAACCAACACGCACACACGCCCTCTCTCTATTTATTTAGTTCAAACTTCAAAATTATCAATAAAGACTTTTAACCAACACAAGCTTCATTCATAGTATTCAAATTAAATATAGATCCAAATGTGTCAACTATTCATAGAGTTCAACAAAAAATGATTAATTTAAGTTCCTTTGACTTTTTGCAATTTTCCATTTTTTCGGTATTTTTCAATTTCCGGATTATTTTATTTTTGTGCCTCGTTTTGTATACCACGCACTAGTTAGTGTGCCACTAGGGTTCTGGAAGTGATTAGGGCATTTTTTTTAGAACTCTTAGAAATATATTTTTAGTCATTTCTTATTTTTTAGTATTTTGGTCCGGGAGGTTCCGTGTGGACCCCATGTCCGGATTTTTTCGTGCTCGGGGCTATTTTTCGGGTTTATTACATTTCATATTTTATTGTTTGAAGGGTAGGGTATCTATGTGATTGTGTGTTTTATCACATATTTGTAGCATGTATATTATGTGTATATGCATATAAGGGTCATTTTATCATTTTTGAGGTCAAATGGGACCCACTTTGACCAAGGGTTTCCAAAAAGACTAAATGACCAGATTTTGGTCATTTCTTTGCTCCTCCTTCAGCCGAGACCAACTTCTTTCTCTCTCTAAATCTTTAGTATCAAGTGATGCATTCTCATGATCAATGAATATAGATGTGTAAAATATGACAATTGAGAAACACCAATTTTAAATTTATAAAACCACTACACAACTATATTGGAGTATAGTGAGTAGGGATCGAACACGAGGACTATAGACTTGGATTAAACTTAGTATTAATGAGCGTGAGATTGAAAAGATGATGATTGGTTTGATTAAACTATTAATGGAAAAAAAATTCTTAGGTAAATGTGGAAATTTTTTATAGATATATCAAGAATGAACAAATAACAACAAGGGCATCCCCTTGGATAAAAACAAAATAAACACTGTAATTACAAGAAGCTGTAACTAGAAAGAGTGGTTACAGCAAACAAAAATTTAGAAATTAGATTAGAAGATGCAGAGAGTCGACTATGTAGAAATTTCAAATGAGATGATATAAAAAGGAATTTGGATTAAGGTATTAGTGAGAGGGGCTTAAGGCATGAACTTCACCACTAAACTCATGTAATTGCATTAAATGCCTTCAATTAATGGGGAAAACCAGTTGTAATGAAAATGTGGCTACAAGCACATATCAATGCTTAAGTAGATACTACAATTGCAATGAATAAGCATGAATTATCAAATTCAAGTGTGAATTGTCTACCTAACTACAACTATTCTAAGGTGTAGAACAACCCATCGAGAATAAGCATAATCCATCAAATTAAGAACAATTGTATCCAATACGAACAATGTGTGGCCATCATTGAGCACAATTACAAAAAGTACTCAATGTAGAGATCAATCAACAATCAACCACATATAAGACAACAGATAGTCAATTAGAAGATTAATTGAAAGAATTATTAATAAAAATCTTGGTACAACCAAGTTTGAATCCACAAGACCAAGCAAAATATATACAACTTATAAATCCCCCAAAATTGAAAGATGAGAGATACACTTACACAAGCTCAGCGCTTATCTAAGCCCTAAGTAAAGATCTAGCTGGACATAGAGGTGATGGATGTCATCTTTATGGCTTCAATTCCCATCTCCATGCTTAGCTTCATCTTTTCCTTCAACCTCGAGATCAAACCTAGCCTAGAGAGAAAAACTGTATAGAAAACCCCAAAATTCTCGATCCAAAATTTATATCTCTCCCTTTATCTCTAACCAATCCTCTCTCTCAAAGAGTCTTCCAAAATCCTTTTATAAGTGACTCTTAAGAGCCAAAAATGAGTCAGACCCCATACACTCAAGTCAGGAAGTCTCTCGCACCATGGCTCTCTTGAATTAGAACTCGAATAGCGAACTTTAACATGAATCTGCCCAATGCACGATCGATCGTACTTTTCCCACGATCGATCATAAGATCAATCATAGGATTGATCGTATGACTGCGATCGATCGTACATTCTACTCTGACTTTTGGTGCTTTTCTTCTTCGCTGCAGTTCAAAAAGACTTTACTGTACTGGAATGAACCCTTTTTCGATATAACAACCTGAAAACGATAATAAAGCAAATAAGTACTAAATAATGAATAAAGATAGGACTAAAATGCTAACAATTGTAAGATTAAATGCCAAAATGTGCATATTTCGGCATTCA